TAATTCCGGGCAGGATTATGTTGGTCGTGGGCCGGAATTATCTTAATGCCGGCCAAATTAAACGGTTAAACGATTAAGAAAAATTTTAGGCGGTTCCAATCCCTATTTGTAAGTACCTCTTACCATTAAGATGCGCGTTATTTTGGGGCGTTATTTTGAAACTATATATATGCTATTTTTAGAGTGGCACAATTTTCGAAATAACGCGCAGATGAGCGTTATTCCGCGCAAATACGATATATACTTTCATATAATGATAATGAATCATATAATGAAGTGGAAGCGGGAAATACTTATTTGTGCGAGTGATACAAACCCCAATTCGTGAAATTATAAATTTAGAGATAGGTTCAAACACTGTATTTTCGCCCCTTCTTTTTGCTCACGTGCCCTATTGGTTTTGTATCACTTGCAAATAAGTTCATAGTAAAAAATTTTTTTAGGACACAAAAGATAGTTTCATAGATGAATGTAAAGATAATTTATTGTTTTAGCAATTATAAAATTATGTTTACAAAGCCTGCAAATATCACCAATAGATAGGTGAGCTTTAATATATCAAAATTTCTTAATAAATTTCTCACAAACATATTAAAAGATGATTTAAAATTCAAAATACCTAACGACAAAAATAAAATGATGAAACTACAAGTAAAAAAAAAAAAAAAAAAAAAACTCATTGCATTTATGTGTAACTGACTATGTAGATCGGAGAGAATGCTCAAATTCACACCACCAATTCTTAACAATCTGCTCTCGTTCACCGGCTGAATCGATCGTTTCCTCAATGTCATCATAAATCATCTTTAATATTAATTCTGAATTTTGTATGAAATGCATAACTTCTTGTATGGTAAGATCAGCAACGTCTGAGCGTTGGTAAATACGCAGGAAATCTAGTACATTAGTTATGACAACTTCTTTTATCTTGCGAGATTGATGAAATACATCGGAAAAAACTGTCATCCAATAGCGATCTATGAATTTTATCATCGTACTCAAGCACCAAGGCTGTGGTTCTTGTATGATATAATTCCAATCTTTCCCAAAACATTCTTGAAAATGAAATAATATAGCAGGTGGAAGGGCATTGCTGAGATTTGCCATGATTTTATTCACAAGGCGTTTATGAGAAGTTTCAATAGTTTTGGTCAACAATTTCTTAGAAACTGATGGTGTTGTAAATAGCATCATTGATATTACATCTGCTTCCCGATTCATTTTGTTATTAGTATGACTTGTACTTGATGTTTTATGATTGGTAAATACATCCAAATTCTCCGGTGCGTGAATAGATGCATATAGAGAAGAATTATGCTTAAGTTCATCTTGTGTAGAAAAAGGAGAATAAGATGCCTGTATAGAATATGATGGCGATAATGGTGAGTTTTGAATGACATTAGAAGGTATACATCCATGCGTTGTCGTATATGATTCTGAAATCCGTTTCGTATCATCATCATCCATCAAGAACTTTTTAGGATTTGAATGAACCGTAGATGGTATTATTTTTTTCGTTACTGCATCCTTATTCTTCTGATTGTTTACTTCCAATTTTTTACCTCGATTGTCTGGAGCATGAATGGAATCATACAGTGACAAATATGATGGATTGCATTGATTTTCATGTGAATATAATGGTGGTCTAGAATAAGATGGTTGTGGAGTCTGCAAACTCGTTATTACTTCGGAAGATTCTGGTATTACATTCTGAGAAAATGATGTTGCCTTTTGCATTGCATCATCACAGTCCATCATAATTGTATCGGTATCCTACAACACAATAAATTTTTTTTTAAGTTTCTGATTAATGAATTAAAATATGAATTAAAATAAGCATAATGAATACTCTACAAAGCATTCAGGCTCTTCTTTTATATTGTAAACTACGTTAAGTCCATTGTGATTTTCTCGTACATTAGTTTCTAATTCGTTTACATTTGGCCATTGTATCACTGAATTACTTTGTTTATACAGTACTGTGTCTGGGGATGAATTGACAGTAGACAAAATTTTTTCCAATAATCCATCCGAACCACAAGCCTTCTGATATGAAAATGTGTATATATCTATGGATGACAAAGTTTCAGAGAAATAAATTAGCTAAATATAATATGAAATCACTTACGGTTATAATTATTATGTAATACTTGCCATGAACCATTGCCTTAACACACAAATTTTTATCATTTGATAAGAGAATTATAGAGTTTCGCGTCGTCGTTTGAAAATACCTTGACATACAATGTATAAATATATAATATAATATAATGTATTGCAGTAAAATGCATATAGAGAACTTACCTACAACAATCCAAAATTTTATCATCGTTATTCTTGATCGCGACATAAAAATCCATCAAAGCGAATTTAACGTTCCATTAAAGAAAAAAAAAAAAATCCTAACATCGACTTTTTATTTATCGACCTAAGTAATGAGTTGGGATCTTACCTTGGGCTTTTCAATTTTTTCATGTATTTTTTGACCGCGTATTCCGTCATGTTTTTCGGCCAAACAGTTGTGTAAAAATGAAATTGCCCTTTGAGCCAAATTTGACACGTCAAGTTGATTTAATTTAGAAGAATTGGCATATGAGTTATTCGATCTGCTTTTTAAACCATCAAGTTCTTCTAAGACAATCCAGGGCATAATGACAATTAAGTTTGATTTTTTAGCGTGCTCTAAGACGAGCATTTTGAGAAATGCAAGGTGTGAAATTAGGAAATTAGTATCCACAACAACTACAGACGAATACGGAGAGCTTGTGAACTTTTGCGACGCAAACGGTGACAGCGTCTGGCTGATATAAATTAGCGGTTAAAGCGAATTCCTTGTGGAGTCGCGAATATATACATTCCATATATTAATATAATGCATACCGTTACGGAACTCTCATATTGCGTTTCCAGCGCAATATCCTTTCTAAACTGAGCAATTTGTGAGGTAATGTCTTGTAATGCCCATTCGTCATCAATGTCCATATAAACGCGATCATCTTCAAGTGCAGACATACTGTCTTTTTCTTTCACAACAAACACCAAACACCACACATTCCGATAAAATCTTGTTCATACTAGTTACACGATTTTGCACGCAGATCATAGTCGCATCTAGAAATGCTGGTAAATTTTTAATTGCATCATATCTTTGCACTTATAGTTTAATTTTGCCAGCGTATACTTATCTGCGGCTGTGACACAAACCATATATGGAATATTCAAAGAAAAATAAGAAAAATGTACGTACGTACGTACTAATTTAAAGGTGTCGGAACGCAATTTCCCTAACCAACCTTAATTGCAAATAAATTCAAAAACAAACGTATAACCCAAAATTTAGTCTATGAACTGCCTTCTGCGCATTAATTAAAAGTTTTCCTTCTAAAAATTTTGCTATAAAAAATGTTTTTAAACACCAATCTAATGGCAAAATCCTGACCCTAACCTAAACCTTTTTTTGGTGGCGATTCTACCCTTGTTGATTAATGCTTGCGTCAGATGTTAACAATAACAAGGGTAGAATCGCCACCAAAAAAAGTTTCAAGTAAAATTTCGTTTTTTTAGGTTAGGGTTAGGATTTTGCCACTAGATTGGTGTCCATTTTTTATAGCAAAATTTTAGATTATAAGCGATTTTTGACAAACGAACATTTATTTTGAATTTTTATAATCGTGTTATGTTACAGTCAACCCCTCTATAATCACACGTTTTGTTTACTTAAGAACTTTTTAAAAAAATGTGCTTATAAAGAGGTTGTGATTATATAGAGGTGGTTTTTTATATGTTTAATAGTTTTAATAGTAATTTGTTTTTGAATATTGAATGTGATAAGGGGTATTTTATATGATGTGATTATAGAGAGGGTGACTATAGAGGGGTTGACTGTACTCAAATAGGCAACCAAAAGTTGCATGTATGATTAGTATGTATTCTTCAATATGTATACTGTACAAACTATCCTTAGAGGTAGTATATTATATGACATATAAGTTACACTAATCTAATAATAGAATAAAAGCAGAGTGTGGTAACTTAGTGAAGTTGATAAGTTGTCACATTCCCAAGTGGCAGGACAAGAGTTCAAATTCCACTGGTGATGAAATTCAAATTTTATAGAATATGTTACAGCAAACTGTGTATAATTTGATGGATCATTAGATCTGTAGCTTTGGTTGTACCAGCTCTTACTGGGAAAACGTAGAACTAGAATGTGACATATGAATTATATGAAACTCAAGTGAAATGTTTGTGTAAATCCAAGGGCTGGGGCATACAGAATCTCGCTTGGCAAGTTCCGAATGAAAAGATAGCACAGACTTTTGATGGTGCTATATAAAGGATTATCACCAAAGAACTGAGAACTGGACAGGACTGAGGTGTTTGGCAAGGCACTATACCAACCAGGCTGCCAGTATATTCTGGGAAAGGGGTCTGCTCTTTCAGGCTATCTGGATTGGAAGTTTAGAAAACCAGAGAAATGGTAGAAGTCCATAAAGTGGATGCTGGGGTCTGAGTTAACTCTACAAGGGCAGAAGTAGATAACAATAGCGGCTTTGGCTCACAAGTACTCGTTCTTGGACTTGGTGTAAGTTACCAAAATCTAGATTAGCCAAATTGTAGATACAGAAAGTTCTAGCAATGATGCCTCGAGGATAAATTAGTCCTAAGGCTATGGCAAGTATCTGAAACTTCTCGATTGACAAATGTAGTGGAGATGTTCTGATGACATAACAAGTGAGGGTTTGGTTGTATTACAGAGGGTTTAAATAGATAATCCCCTAGTTAGGTTATAGGTAGAGATGTTACAGTTCGGTCCGGTCCTGTTTTAGCTCAAAAAATCGATTTAGCATCTTGAATTACAAATCAGACCGAAGACTACAAACTGGTCTATTTGAAATTCTCTGATTGGCTGTTTAATTTATACATCATAAACCCATTATACATGTGGTATTGAACTATACTTTAAACTATCGTTACTTTTATTTAGCTTAGATTCTACTGTGACATACATATAAAATAATTATTAACAAAGCAACTAATATTAAAATATAATTTGATTTAAGATCCACATATGTTAAAATTTTTTGCTTTTGACTTTTAGATTGCAGTCAACTCTAGAGATATTGGTTAGATCTACTCTGTCTTTAACTTACTAATGATATTAAAAATAAAACAAGAAAGTAATTTATTGATTTTTATAATTAGCAGTTTAAAACTTAAAAAAATTTAGTTTTAATAACCGGTGACTGATAGTTGTTAAAAAAAAAGCTGATTGACTAGTTTTGTTAAAAATTTTATATTATAAAAATCAAAAAATTAACTTATTATTCTCAACTATAAATCTTTTAGCTTTAAGATATAGAATGTATTCATTTATATAATATATACTAAATATAGCAAGGATCTTTTTTAGTATAGGTGATCTTACTTTAAAAATTTTATAATACATATATTTTATTTATGAATTATTTATACTAAAAAAAATCCTGTAGAGATAATAGAGGTATTGGCAGATTTTATATTTTAACTATATAATACCGTTTTTTAAAAACCCTTTAATGCTAATATTTTTTAACATCACCTATTTTATTGCTAATCCAGCTTTTTAGGAATGTGACAAAAATCAGGTGATTTTTTAGAGGCGGAGAGTAGAGATTAGAACCGGTTTTAATAATTTGGGTTTATCACATGATTTTTGTAATATTTTAGAATTCAATCCAATTAAAATTTAATAAATTCTAAAATATCACAAAATTCACGTGATAAACCTAAATTATTAAAACCGGTTCCAACCTCTAGCAGAGGGAAAGTAAAAATTTTAAAATTATATATAAGAATCTAATCAAAATATATATTAAGAGGGGGGAGAGGAGTAAGCTTCAGATAAAAAAAAATTAGGTGATAAATGACACTGCCCTTACATAAAAACAAGCTCTTGCAGTTTTTGGATGAAGCCGATTTCAAGTTTTGGAGATTGTATTACCTGCTATAGAAAATGCTTGTTCACAAGCAATATTAGTTGTTTGTATAAAAAGATAATCACGGGCATGGATAATCCTTTTGATGGGTTTTCCACCAGAACAATAGTTCAGTATTTTCATCTGGCAAGGATTGAAGAAAATTATTTAATTCATTATTAAGTGTTGACCAGTTTTGGATATTGGTAATTGTGATATTAGATAGTTGATGGTCTTAAGAACCCAGTTGCCAAAAAAATTATCAAGTGGTGTATGGTTTAGATTCATTATTATTTATATTATTATATGACAAGAATTGCTGAGATTAAAACTTATAGTGATTAAAAATTTGATGAGTTAAATAGGTAGTATTTTGATGTTGTATAATATCATTAAATATTTTAAGCCTAGTATATGGATCAAGAACTGCCGATATTATTGAAAAACTATTCATTATTTTCCAATATTCTGCTAACTTATTATTCATAGAAGTAGCTATGCTGCTTTGAGAAAATCCTTCTTTGTTAATATATATATCTAAATGCTGTTGAAGACTCATGAAAACAAATTGAATATCACCGTGAGTTAGATACAATGCAGCTGATAAATGCTTTGTAGCTTTTTCTAAGGGTTCTAACAAAACCATAAGGTCCTGTATATAATATTATTATTAGCTTTATAATTCAAACTTAATGCAATAATAATTGTTATAGCTAAAAATAGAAATTAAAAACTTCAATTTAAAATATAAACCTGTCAAAATCTACCCTAAATTTTAACAATTATAAAAAAAAAAATACTAAAAAAATTTTTAAAAATTTTATATTAAAAGATTCTAAATTTCTAGTTTTAGCTATGACAATAATTATTTTTTTTTTACTTACGTGCAATTTTTGTTGATCATCATAATTAGGATACAATTCAGCAATTGAATTATTATCAACGTTAAAGAGATTCAAAGCTATTTCCATATTTTTAAATTTTTTAACATGTAAAATATACTATTCCATCTTATATCTATATCAATTTCAGCTTTTAAATATTTAATTCCTTTAAGATCACATAAGGCATGTAATTCATTACAAAGGCAAATTAATAATTTAATTTTTGTCATTAGTTGTCGCACTTTACTTACTGCTGAACAAACCATTATTAATCCTTGTTTTGCTACTAAATTCAAAACATATGCTGCACATCTATAATAAGAGAATCTGATATTGGCAAATTCTTTTTTTAGCTCTTTTGCTAACAAACGACCACATGTTATTATAGCAGCCTTATTATCAGTTGTAAGTGCAATTGTCTTATGATTTAACTCAAATTCTTTAAGAACACAACTAATAGCATCTAATATATTAATATCTGTATGTTTAACTGAAAAAGGAATTATATCTAACAAGAAATATTGAAGTCTCCAATCAGAATCAATGTAATGAATTGTAAGACCTAAAAAAGCTTCATTACCTAACGATTTCCACATATCTGCAGTAAGAGAGATTTTACCTAGAATAGATTTAATATAATCTTTAATTTTTTCACATTGTTGATTGAATTTGTTAATAATTATGTTTTTTGCTGCTTGTCTAGTAGAAACAATATAACAAGGATCTAAAATATTCATAAAATCACAGAAGTATTGATTATCGACTACAATAAATGGTTGTTGGTTTACAATTAACCAAAAAATTAATTTTTTATTTTGCTTTTGTTGTTCTTATTTATTGTGAGGATCAGTCCAATAGATATAAAGTGTAGTTTGCTTTTTTTGGGTGCTTTTATTTGTTGTTTTTTAAGATGAGCTCTTAATGTAAAAACTCCAGTAGAATTTTCATATACTTGTCTGTATTTATGACAAACTGGTTGTCCAAAATGATTAACAGTTTCTAAATTAAAGTGTGGTCAAACTGTTGATTTATGTTTTTTTGAAAAATGAATACTGAAGACATTACTAAAGATATTACTAGAGATATTACTAGGTGAAGACTCTAAAACTTGACTAAAAGAATCTTCTTCATTGATATCTAATATGTCATTTACATCATCAGAAAAGGTATCTTCATAATAGTCATCTAATTCAGTTTGTTCTTTATTTATTTTATTTAAATATATGATTTTAACTCAAGAACAAATATTTTTTTTAATCAATATATATTTAAAATAAAAAATGAAAACAATTAAAAAAAATTTAAAATAAGGTAAACCGATTAGCATCCTTTCTGATAAAAATATAAGAAAATAATTAAAAAAAAGGAAGAAAATAAAAAATACTATTGTCAATGAATTTAAAACTTCAAATTCAGATAATAAGAAAATTTTGAAGTTATTGCTAACACGATTAATTAATTTTTTTTATTAAAAAACAATCTTTATTTATAATTTTTGAAACTATTACAAAAGAGATTTTGTTATATTCTATCTATCCTATTTTTATAAATACAAGATTTTATTGTATACTATATTAAATAAGTTTTTTATACTATTTTTCTTTTCTATAATGCACTATCTTGATTCTTTGATTACTAACATTCATCCTTGTGAATTTTGAAGCATCTTCTTTATTCTCGATTCTTTGAATACAAGATTTCATTGTAAAAGCTTTGAGCTGTACAACAGGAAGTATTTTTATAATTACTTTTTTTTTAATATACTATTTATTTTTTTGATTACTAACCTTTTGTAACAATTTTTCTTATCTTTTCCTTGTGAATTCGAAGCATCTTTCGAATTCACTAGATTTTCATACAATACTCTAAGTTATTCTATTTTTAAAATTATTTTGTATGGCTTTGATTTTTTATGAAATTTAATTAATTTTCTCATTTGATTAATATCTTTAAATATAGAAAAAGTTGTGACAAAAAATTCATAACCAGGTGATTACTAATCATTCTAAATCTTTTTGATATAGTATAGGTAGAAATAGCAGCTATTCTAACTATTGTAAAAAAAATCTTCTGACAGTTATGCTGAGTTCGTCTAATGATAAAATAGAAAAATTATAATTGATTATTATTAGCTATCTATTATAAAAAAGAATATATATTTATATATTTTTTATTTTATAAACAAATTCAGAAAGCATTTATTATTCTTTAATCAAGGATTAAAGCGCATTTTATATACATTCTAATATCTTACTGTGTTAACACTAAGATTATATTTACACTATAAATTGAAGTAATTTTAGTACAATTGCATTTGTGTTATATGATAATTACATGCATAATCTAGTACGTATGTATGTATATGCATAATAATATCTAATACTATTAAGTTAAGATTAATATAGCTATGGCGATACAAATATAGAAGATAAATGATAGCTTAATAATCAGACAAATAGAAAAGTAAAAACTATGAGATGCTTTATATAAACATTTTATACAATCTTAATGGACTTGAAAAAAATTTATTGTTCAGGTTGATTGGATCGCAATAAAATTTTTTTTGTCGAGTATCTAAACTAAATCTACAAACTTATCTAAATTTTGATTATATATTTTATTAAATAACAAATTTTATTATATGTTGTATACAAATTAGAACTTGTAACAAACCAATTCATATTCAAAGTTTACATATTACTGTATTAAAAACTACAATACATATGTATATATATATACATATTTGTATATATGTATTAAATTTATATATATACAATAATACTAATCTAGCATAGGTTGATTAGTACTATTAATAAACTAATTTATAAACTGGTTTAAATTTATAAACCAGAGACTGTATGAACCAGCTTGTAAACCGGTTTAGAATTCAGTTTTTGTTAAACTGTAACATCCTTAGTTATAAGTATGGCAGCTAATGTAGAACCTATGATGTATAGTTATCTATATACAGACTACTTAAATAGGCGCTCAAAAGATATACATGTGGCTAGTTATACTCTTTAATATAATTCAAAGTTCTGCTGTGAGTCTCTCACACCCAATATTTACTTGAATAAAACCCCTACATCAAAGAGGCTAGTTAATAAAAAAAAATAATAATAATTAAATAAAAGCAGATAGCTAAAAAATTACCTTAATACTAAAAAAAAAGTTTAGATGATAAAAAAGTAGAAAATAAAATAATTTTGTTTTATATTATAATCAGAATTATTAATTGGACTATATTGAACATATTCTAGTACTATGCTACTAGACTACTGAACATAATAATTTAATAAGTTCAATATAGTCTAGTCTAGTAGTTTATAGCCACTAGATATAGTAAAGTAATAACACTAATTATAATATATTTGCTTGGTTTAACCAAATTGTAAATATTTTAATAATATTTTTTTTATAGTTTATAAAATAATCTTATTGGTAGGGTTTTCTTTTTATTATTAAAGTATTTGCAATTTATATTTTACAGAAGAGTTTATAATAATATATTAACAAGAGTATAATACAGTAAGTTATATATACAACTTTAATTATTGTAGAACTTTGAGCAATCTATATAGAGGTAAGAGTTTTAAAAAATTACTAAAAAATAAAAAGATCTATATAAAAATGATCAAAAATAAGTATATATCTTACTTAAAATAAAAAAGATCTGCAAAAAAATAGCTAAAAATAAGCAAATTATATTCTTACCTCTATACAGATTACTTTGGGTCCTATTATTGTCTATTTAAAGGTTTCGCCTATAGATTTCTACTTATTGCTATATCTAAGATCTATTTGTGAGTTTCTTATTTAAGCTTTCTAATTTTTAATATTATTCTGCTTATATAATCTTTAATTTTAAATACTTGGATCAACCTTCAAACTACTTTATCTGTAAAGTAAATTCTACTAAAAAAAGATAGTTTTTACAGTTACACCTTATTCAGATTTTATTGCATTAGAGTGATTTTATATTAAATAATATTAGCAAATTTTATATATAGAAATATATTGATTTTTTTTTTTTAATATTAAGGTAATCACTTTGGAGTCTGACACGTTTTATTGAACTTTGATTCAAATGTCAGAGCAACCTACATGGGCTACTCCTGACTTTGTTACATTAACAAGGGTACAACTAGCCATATATACAACTTTTGGTTGTCTATTTAAGCAGTCTTGCATATGTAACCCATATAAACTATACTAGCTGCCATACCTACAACCCAGCTAAGAGGATTATCTATTTAAATCCTCTGATCAACTTAGCGCTATCAGATATTCTCCTCAAAGAGTGACTGCCAGGAAGGCCTCTTAGGACTTTAAAGCAGATACACACTTCCATATAGAGGGGTTCTTTATCCTCATGGAAAACCTACCAGAGCGGTCCATATCCCACACATATATCACCTAGATTTTTAGTAACTTATGCCTAGACTGCAGCCAAGTACTTGTGGCTTTTTATCTCTGTTATCATTATCTACTTTGTGCCTTTGCAAAGTTCACCCAAACCCCAGCACCCACTTTATGGACTATCAACAATACTTCGATGCCAATCGTCGGTACTCTAAACTTCTAATCCAGATGGCCCGGAAGAGACTAGTGGGTGTCTTCTGATATTCCGAATGAATCCTTTTTCCTCTGGTTAATCCGGCAGCCGGTTGGTGTAGTGCTTGCCAAACACTTAGTTCTCATTTAGTTTGTCTATAGTGTCCGGTTCCTCAGATGATAATCCTTTATGTAGTGCCGGCAAAGATCTGTGCTACTTCTCTACTCGGAACTTCCCAAGCAGGCTTCTGTATCACCTAATTCCTTGGATTTATTTGGCTGCTTCACTCGGGTTTTGTGTAACTCATATATTACACTACATTCTACAACCTCCCAATACGAGTTGGTGAGACCAAGGTTACAGGTGCTGACCCGATCGACATGTCATACAGTTTTACCGTAATGCATTTCCGCAAATTCAAATTTCGTCATCAGTGATTCGAACTCTTGTCCTGCCGCTTGGGGTGCGACAACTTACCAACTATATTAAGTCGCCACATCCTTGAAATATATTGATTTTAATCTTCTCTACTAATTAAATTAATTATAAAATAATATAAATTGATTAAAAATATAAATAAAATATAGCCAGTTATATAGTATTCAATAATTAATAATATGCTAAATATCAAATATATCTATATAATATAAATATATAATAATTATATGATTTTTTTTTTTTTTAGTTTTTAAGGTAACCTCTTGGTTACTATCCTTTTATTTGATTATTGTTAACTTTTATAATATAGTATATACTATACAGAATATATATTTAGAGAGTATAATTAGCTATATATACAACTTTTGGTTGCCTATTTAAGTAGTTCCTTATTACTAAGTTCTACACTAGCTGTCATACCTATAATCCAATCGAGTTACCCATTTAAACCCTCTGTACCTATATACATTAATCCTCTAACTGAGTGAGAATATATTAGTACTCCTTATTTTTAGATTCCTGACTTAAGACTTTAAGACAGATCTACCTATAGAGATCCTTTGTCTTCGAGGTAAACTTGCTAGAGCTTTCTGTATCTACAATCTGGCTAATCTAGACTTTAGTAACTTATGCTGAGTTTGAAGACAAATACTTGTGAGCTGAGTTCACCTAAACCCCAGTATATACTCTATGGACTAATACTGACTTTTCTTTACTAACAGCATCCTAAACTCTCAATCTAAATAGTCTAGAGAGTGACCAGTAGGCATCCTTTGGTATTCCGATTGAAATTTTTTTTTTGTCTATACAGGACCACCCCATATATATGTGGTCTGGTTGATATTGGTGTCTTGCCAAACATCTAGTTCTCGTCTAGTTTGCTGCCAGTGTCTGATTACCGATAATCATCCTTTACGTAATATCGTTAAAGATCTGTGCTACCTCTTTACTCGAGACTTGCCAAGTGGGATTCTGTGTGCCTCAGCTCTTAGATTTATACAAATATTTTACTTGTATTTCATATAACTCTTGCATTATATTATAGTTTTACGTTCTTCCAATACAAGCTAATATAACCAAAGCTACAGATCTGATGATCTATCAGATTACACACAGTTTGCTATAGCATATTTCTTAAATTTGAATTTTGTCACCAGTGGGATTCGAACTCTTGTTCTGCTACTTGGGAGTACGAATATTTATATAATTTATTTGTAAATCAATTTTTATTTTTTATTTTTTTTGGTATTAAGGTGAGGCCTTGCTCATATCTTTATTAGTAATTTTTAGAAATAATAACTACATAAAGACTATATAGAAATATTACTACTTGTATAAGTACAAATAAAAATTAAAATTACATGCAAGAATAAAAGCTCAGACATATTTATCTGCGACCTAAACCCACTAGAGTGGTCAAAGACTCACCTAGATTTTTAAAGTAAGAATAAAATTTAAAGAAATACTATATTTAATCCAGTATATATACTAGATACCAATTTTGCGTATAGCTTGATCTACAGAGAAGCAGGTGCTTGAATGGGAGTGAAGTTGGTCTGCTATATCACATAGGCAAAAAAAAGTATAGTTTGTGTGAAGATAGTTATTTCTGTAAGTAGTTGATAGTGATTCTTAGATTTAGAATATAAATATCGTACGTGGAAACAGAATTATGATGGGTTTAGAATCAACTTAAGTCGATTCTGAATGCATGTAGATTGAAATAGAATTCCAAAACGTGCTCAAGTTAATAAAGAATTCTAATTCAACCTAAACCAAAATAAAGAAAATTCTGAATCAATTTATCGAATTAAGTTATTTTAGAATTTAAGTGGCTTTAAGATAAAGTTTATTCAATAATCGAAGAGGCAGTCATCAAATTAATATGCCGTGAAAATTAAATTTATTGCTTTAAAGCCTACATAATGTTTTTACACTTTTGATTCTTAGGATGGCAACTACTACCGCAGAGTACATTCATCTTTTTACATTTACAGTGGTTTTTATCACAGGTGTTTTTGCAATTACATTTAATATTACCCATCTGAGACGAAGATTGCATGATGGATGCTTCTCTAATGCTAATAAACGTTGAAGGAATATCATCTAATTTTGGAAATATATCGGGTCCCAAAGGAAGTAATTCATTAATATTATAGGTACCCCTAATAATGCCTGATTTACATCCAATTCTGTACATATCATCTTCCAAGACCTCAAGAATTTTGCAGGGAAGTGTTTTTCGATCACTATGTGTTCTGTCGATCTCAGGAATCTTGATTTGAACAAAATCTCTAATGTTATATTTATTCGCAAATTTTTTATTACGTTTGTTGAGCTGCAACTTCATCTTACTTTGATATCGTTCAAGAGACTTTAGTGCTACATCTCGATAGATTTTGTGTGCTGAATTCTGATTCAAATTGTAAAAAAATAAAATGGATTATAAAAATCAAATAAACATTAAATTTTTATTAAAAAATTAACCGTTTTAAATACCTGAATATTAGCATCTGCGTTAGTAACAATATTAGCATCTGTATTAGTAACCAAAGTTGAAGATTTATGTCTTTTAGTTGGACGAATTTCATCTTCAGACGAACTTTTATCGACCGTTTTATTTTTAGATAGCTCAGGTGTCTATTTTATAAAAATTTTATAAAAATTTTATTAAAAGCTACTAGGCAGATAGAAGGACAAACTAAATATTTACATTTGTTGTCATATTTTCTTTTTCATTCGTCCTTATATCTACTGTTTCATTCATCATTATTTCACCCACCACTTCATTCGCCATTTCATTTATCATTCTATCCATCTCTTCATTTATTGTCCCATGCATATCCTCATCTACTACTTCATACTCTATATTTACCATTTCATCTATCAATTCGTTCACTCTTTCATCCATCACTTCATCTACCTCTTTATTCGCCCTTTCGTCCACCATGTTATCCACCTCTTTATCCATGTTCACTATTTCATTCATCTCTCTATTCCTTGTTTCATTCGCTTCTTCAGTAATCTGTTCCAGTAATTGTTGCTCCTAAAACAATTTATTTTAAATTAAAAAAATAAAATAAAAAATAAAATAAAATAAAAAAAAAAAAAAAAATTTGTTACCTCCACATTCAAAGCTGCGGCTCCTAAAAGCGATTTCACAATTTCTTGTCGATCGAAATCATCCTGAGGCTCAGAAGGTTCAAACCAATTATCAGATAATTCGTCTTCATTATTAATACGTTGCTCTTTAACCTCTTTTAATAAGGAAAAGTGACGTAAAGGGTTTTGACCGAATACTAATGAGTATGGGCTACTTTTTGTTTGTCACGATGTCTGTATATTCATAGTGTCTAAAATTGAAATTATATTTATTAAATTATTAATGTTAATAAAGTTTTAATTTAAAGAAAAGGTATATTTGTAATAGCCGTTATATGTAATGGCCCAACAGTTAGCCAATTATTTTTAGTTTTAGAGTTTGATTATATATATTTTTGTTGGTTGTACTAAGTAAAGCCTATTACAAACAGATAAACTACATACAACAACACAATGGCACAGCACGGGCCCAATCTTTTCTCTGTGTGTCTTCCATCCACTTAGACACTTTTTGTTGAAGAATGTCGTTTGCACGTTTTACAAGCCCTTAGCTCTGTGGATGCCTTGGGCGACCATTAATAATATGAACATCAGGCCATATAGTTAATAATTCGCGGATCACCTCCGCAGTAAACTCACGACCATTATCGGTCTGAAGAATAATCGGGGCACCAAAGCAGACAAAAACATCAAAAAGAAATATGGCTACTTCAATTGGCCATTTACTAGTTATGGCCCGAGCCCACGAATACCGTGTGAAATGATCGCGGATATGGCATATGTAACGATAATCACCATCAGGAATGCTGGTTATAGAAATTAAATCAACTTGAACTCTATTGAGAAAGGCATATGAGATTATTGGCTTTGCAGCTACCAGATTTAGAAAATTTCTTCGCATTGTACATGTTGTGCAATTCTTTACAAATTCCTTTACGAAAGATTGTGGAATATAACAATACAGTTCTGAAACCTATGTATGTATATGTATAAAAAATTTAAATGATCAACATATCACAGTAATTATAATATTATAACAGATTACATACCACATCCCAGAGTTTCGATAAACCAACATATTTTAATACCCCTTGATGTAAGTTGCACAATACTTCATATATTTTATCAACAGGACATACAGGTAAGTTTGAATCAGCTTTGATAAGTTGGATTATGGGGTTCATTGGCGTTCCAAGATCACGTATAGCAAATGTTTTTTTTGCCCAATAACGATCTTTTGCATTCCCGATTGTTGTATTTGCTGGATCTTGTAAAACCTTAATACAGAAATCAAAATCCTCATGTGTAATAAAGGTTTTACGTTGCCTATTGGCTGACTTGCCATCAAGATATTTGGAAAGCAGGTTTTCAAATGCATTGCGAGATAAGAATGGATACTCTTGAGGCTCAGTTATCGGATAGAAAGAATTGTAAAGAATGAATAAACGAAATGAAAAAAAAAGTATTTAAGTGAAATGAAAAAAAAAAGTATTTAAATATTTAATTATTTAATATCACTACGTCAATCAATTACACATTATTAAAGTATCGAATTTAGAATTAACTTAGGTTACTTTTAAATTTATCAATTGCATATTAATTACGAATATCAAATTTAGAATCAATTTAAGTTGTCTTTAAATTTTATATTAACTTGAATCCTATTTAGAATTCTATTTCAACCTAAGTTGATTCTAAACCCATCATAATTCCGTTACCACGTACAACATAAATATATGATTTGTAATTGCTTTCTCCAATAAGAGAAATTAGCACAATAGGGCTTTCAAAGTTTTTTTTTTTTTTTTTTTTTTTTTTTTTTTTTTTTCTCGTCTTTTTTTTTTC